GGGGGGGGGGGGGAGGTTTGCTCTGTCTCTTCGAAACTGTGGGCGCCCTGAGTGGGCGCTCTGCATCTCAAGGCGCCCACTCATGGCGCCCACACCACTACGAAGGCCTACTTTCATCGTGGTCTTCTGACCAGGCTTTGAGCTCTGGCACCACGTCCAATTACTTGTTCGTCTCCTCCATTAGTGGAAAGTCTGATGATTGGGGAGACTTTTTTTTTCTTGTTGAAAGCTTGGAAAACTTTGCCACTTATGTTTTAGGTTATGAACGTTGAATGGCGTTGGATTGATTTTCTGTTGTTGGAAATGTACTTTGCAGATATTTGATTCATTTTTTTTTTTTTTTTGAAACGTTACCGATACTGTGGAACGTAGGAGGGATACGAACTTGTGGTCATGGCTCCTGCAGAGAAATTCTATTTAGTTACCTGTCCTCGGTTCCACAATGAACCGGGAACCCAAGAACGGGATCGAACTCGCCCCCTTGACTACCATCTGTCCGTCTCCGGCGGCGCATCTGCCGAATTCCTGAGAAGTCTCATTCAAACTGCTGAGTGACTTTTACCTGGGACTCCATCCGCATCTACCTAGTTTCAGTTCCTCAGCATTCCTTCATTGAATTCCTTTTCTTCCCGGTAAGATCCACGAGGCCCCGTGTTCACCTTCTGCTTCCTTGGGCTGGGATCTTCGAATTAGGATAAAGGGATGAATGCGAGTGGAAGTGGTTTTGCGAGGACAATGTCTCTGGCTTCGTAGGGTCGTTTTCCTAAGGATTATGTGTTATTGTTTCAGGTGGGGATGAAGCGCGCGTTGCGAGGGCGGAAAGCGGCCGCGGACCATCCTCGTTCGCTAATGGAACCGCGTCGCCGAGATCGCTACCTCCTCGTGCGGGTTGGGCAGTGCGCGCCACGGGGTCACTTTCCTCATCCGCTTTTCCGGCACCTTCAGGAACGACGCCATCAGCAGCAGGAGGTCAGACGTCGCCACGAAGCTCGGTGGTCGGACAATGGGCTAACAGCGATTCAATATCGTCATCATCGTCAGCAGCAACCTCACAGTCAGGATTCAACGTTAAGAGGCACCTCGCGGACGGCGCATCCGGGTGGTCCGATCGTCTCGAACTGAGGGGCGTCCCGATGTCGCAGAATGCGTCGCCGCCGTCGCGGCCACCCTCGTCCTCGTCCTCAATATCCTCTACGAGTGCTCTACCCCGTGTACACGGGCATGATCACAACAGGCCCTTACCCCCGCCGAGATTGCCGGAGGGTACTGGCACCCTGGTGCCCCTTACGGCACCACTTACACCCCTCTCTACTTCGAGCTTCCGCTCGAGGACGTCCCTAGTGCATTCGACTACGAATTCTGGTACTCAGAGCAGCCATTCGAGTCCTCAGAATGCCCGTAACCAGCACCTTCAGACGCCTGGCGTCGCCTCTCCGGTCAGTGCAGGAAGCCCTACGACTATATCAGCCGCCATCGGTGCGAATACCACGACTACCGGAAGCGCTGGTCAGGCCCCCAGGAGTCCCGTGGGTGAGGTCACCCTGGCGGTACCCAGACCCGACGGCGAGAGAGCCGTCAATGAGTACGTGGAGACGCCATTCAGGCCTAGCGTCGCGCAGAATCCTGGACAGAAGTGCACGAAGAACGAGAGGAGACATCATCAGAAGGTACAGGCCCACCATCATCAGCTCCATCAGCACGCGAATCATCATCAGAGCCTTAATCACCAGCACCATCATCAAAATCATCTACAGTCCTCCTCGCCGACGAACACCGTCACCAAGCAGCCCGTGTCCTTCACCAAGGAACCCGCGAATTCCATCAGTTCCGGTTCTCTGGGACCCAGAGCAGAAGGACTCTCCATAATGTGTGACTTCTGTGGCAAGTGTCGTTGCGAATCCTGTCGCGAGCCTCCACCGCTTCCTAGTAGATGGCTCTGCGACAACTCCTGTTTCTGCTCAGCGGAAACGGCTCTGGACTACGCATCCTGCCTCTGCTGCGTCAAGGGACTCTTCTACCACTGTGGGGACAGCGGAAGCGGCGTAGACGGCGAGGGTGGCGGTAGCTGTGCCGACGAACCCTGTTCCTGTACGGGATCTAGGAAGTCAGCACGCTGGGCATGTCTAGGAGCCCTCACCCTGGTTCTACCCTGTCTCCTCTGCTACTGGCCGTTCAAGGGCTGCGTGGCCCTCTGCGAGGCATGCTACGCACGTCACGCGTCCCAAGGATGCCGGTGCGACCCGTCCACCCTTGGCAGACACCTGGGTAACGCAGTGGTGCGCGACTCCAGGGATCCGGAGAAGAGGCTCCTCGACCCAGTCACCCCAGAACTGTGAGAAAACGACTCATTGCCTCTTCTGCGTAGATCAACCGATTCACAAACTAGAAGCTAATAGAGAAGCAAGTAGTTCATGGTGAACGGCGCGCAGTGTTGTTTTCTCTTCCTAATAATTAATTAAAGAAAAGGCAAAATGGTGTACGAATAGAACTCGCAAGTGAAAGAATGCAGTGTGATTAGCTGACACGGGTACTGCGCATGAACGTTTGTGTTTTGTAAGGTGGCATAAGTAATATATGTATACTGAAAGGACGCGGGGGTACCGGAACTGTATGAATATTAAAATTACGTATTCGGAGGTGTGCGCTCTGAGATTGGAACAAGTGTCGCATGGGACGCTTACGTGGACGAGGTCCTCGGACCATGTCACCAGGGACGTACAAAGAGGAGGGATCCTTTGGTTAGTTTGAGAATTTCAGATAGAATTACAAAAGAAAAGAAAGGAAATAAGAATCCGGAAGTCGAGAAGAAACTAAAAAGTGCGCACCAGCATGAAGTGTGAGACTCGTGTGTGAATGAACCTACGAGACGAGAAACAAGTGTTGCATTAGTACAAGAGTTGCATTTAAGACGTGAACGAGGGACAGGATGTTTAACAAATATATCGGACCGGAAGTGTTTATTTATTATTCTCCACATGCAAACGTACAGAGAGGAAGATATCACACATGCGCCCATCTTACAGGAACACTCGGACACAATTACATTTATATACGAGAACACAGTGGCCCACGTTAATACTTCTGTAACGTATGGATGGCGCGTAACGTATACGGGACGCATAGGCACACATTACGTATTTACGTTATATGTATACAGACGTTATTTGAATGGCCGTATATAAATACTATAGAGAGGTTCTATGTGAATGGGCGGTTAGAGGGTCGTATACAGCCACGTATATGAGACAGAGACACACATTGGCTACATTACACTGGAGACGCACCCAGAGGACACGTACGCGTAGATAGCTCTATATATTATAAATATATAAATATTATATAAAGCAGAATTAAATATATATTGTATATTACATTTGTATAAAGCAAAACTTTTCTACATTTAATTTATTTTGTGGGCGAATCGCGAGTATAGTGGAAAGCGAACGGGAAAGCGTGGAACGTGCGTGTTCAGAGTGGAGAGAAGGAGAATTTTTTTAATGGCTGACTCTCGAAGGACTTTTGAAAGAGATTAGATTTTTTTTTAATAAAAATTTTTTAATTTTCACGGTACACCCATTGTACTTGTACGAGAGTACAGGGCCGCTGGTACCGTATTACGCGTGACGATAAATAATGCCAAGGTACAAATTTCTCTTTGGATCTCCCGCGAGAGAGAAAAGGGATATGGAAAGTGATGCATTGTCAAAAGCTCTGTGGCGTATGTCCTTCCGATTTCAAAAGTCTCGAAGCGCGCGGGCTGTCAATGGAAAAATTTTCGTGCTCTCGATGAAGGAATTCCTTTCATTTTTTTTTTTAATTTTTTCTTTTCAAGTTCACCGTATGTCTTCTCGCGGTATGTAATTAGTGCGAATGTGTCGTGCACGCGTTAGCAAAGAGAGAGAAAAAAGAGTGAAAGGAGAAATGAAAGAAAAGAGAGGGTGTGCATTGTAAGTGTGAATGACGAGCGTCGTGGAAAGAGAGCGTGAGAACGAGTGAGCAAGACGAAGTTGAATGATTACGAAAGAGTGCGAATTGAAGATGGGCGAGAATTTTTTTTTTTAAGAGAGAGAGACACAGAGCGAGCTTTAGGGACTTTCGACTTTATTAATTTTTTTTTTCCAGTATTATCTAGTCTTGTGAACGTTTTTCAACGTGAAAACTATAGGTTTTTTTTCTTTCTTTTCTTTTCGGACTGCAGACGCGTGAATGCGAGCGAATAAGGACGCGAGACAAAACGAAAGAGGAAAAAGAATGAAATGAAGGAGAAAAGATATATACATATTGAAGTGCACTTTTCCACGCAAATGCGAATCGCTATTCCGATTGATCTTGGAAAACAGAATATGAAGGACTTATAAAGGAAAAGGCCTACGGATTTAGAGAGAGGGGTATGGAAGTGCTTTTTGAGGTATAATAAAATGATGCGAGAATGATGGGGGATGTTTTTTTTTCTTTTTTGTCTAGAGTGTACAGTGTGTATGAATGGTTTTGTGCGCATGCGTAATGTGAAGATCGACCGTTCTAACGTTTTCGAATTTCTAACGATTACTCTTAATATATTCACTTGCGACCGGGGTGGGTACCACGGGATTGGGATTGGGATGGGACGGGGAATGAAGAGGGGAAAAAAAAAGATAAAAAATGAAATAAGAAATGTTAAACGGGTAACCCGTCTCCGTAGGTGGGGATTGGGAGACTCTTTGAATATCCCGCGCTATTTATATGTCTAATTTAATAAATTATTCGCCATTAGGAATCTTTAGGCTTCTCTTTCGGTCGGCGTTATTGGCCGATAAAAATTTAATTGAAAATTACACGAGTTATGGTGAACCGACTGTACGACGGGACGCGTTTCATCTTTGCCAATGCATTTTTACTTCTTGACAGTCGAATCTCCTTATATGAGAAATCGTTTTTAGTGCATGTAAAAATAGAAATTCGAACTACCTAGAAGCGGATGAACAATATATACATGGGATTTGAAAAAATACAAATTTTCGAAAATTGAAAAAGAGAATTGTTCGACCGTGTAAAAGATATACATTTTTTTTTTTATGAAACAACCCGTAGGACTTTCGAGCGAGAGACTGGTAGTCCAAAAATTCCGATAGTAAAATAGTAAAAAAAAAAAGGGGGAGACCAGAAGGGGAGGGGATGCGTTCGTTTTTTTTCTTTCAAAACAGTAACGAAGAAGATGAACGACTGTCGAGAACGAAAAAAAAAAATTATTAAAAAAATCACGCACTACTATACTCTGTAACGCGGACAATGTTGATGTATAAAATAATACTAGATAGTTAGAGATTCCAAATGCCAATGGAGTCGCGAATAAATGATGAAACCCACGTTAAAAGAAACTCTTTCGTCGTTCCCTTCGACTCCTCGTGATTGTTCAAAGAAAAATATATTTAACGTGGTCGTCCCTGTTGACACGTGCTCACATACGTACCCATGCGTGCACACGAAAGCCTCTCACAATCAGCATCACATACAACACACACATGTTACACATACATCATCTCCCGTTCCTCGCGGATTTCGTTTACCAATGCAAAGGACAAATCTTAATGAGATTATAGAGATTTAAAAATGTTTGCGCGTAACCTTTTTCTATATTCCCGCTGGATCGTGAAACACTGGGAGAGTCGGAGGTTACGTATGGCCACGTGGTTGTTTCGTGGCGAGCGAGAGAGTGAGAGCGTTGCGAGTAAGCGAGAAGTGTGGGTGGGTGTGAGACAAAGAAAGAAAGAAAAAAAAACAGAAGAATGAAGGAATGCTAGAGTGACGGAGAAAGTGAAAAGGCGCGCGCCTCGCCAGCAAAAAAACCCTTTTAATAATTTTAAGCCTACACGCTCTGTATATGTCTTGTAAATATATATTTGAAAAAATCGATATCACCTGGATCTCTTTATTTCAAAAAAAAAAAAGAAAAAGGTACACGTCCATACAGTCAGTATCGATTTCGAATTGTTAGAGGAGGTGGAGCTGATGACGATGACGGTGAGGTACCCCTTGTTCACCAGGAGAGAAAACCTCTCGAGACAGACGTAGACACCCTTGGAAGGGCTACGTTAGGCTTCGACCGGGTCGAACTCTCGTTTAATGCAACGTGGGACACATCGAGTGAGGGACGCGCCTAGACGCCTAATGGATTTACGACGCCCTCCACGCCGACGAGACGAGGGAGTGTTGAGGGCGTCGTGAATGGAATAAACTGCACTAGGGGCGTAGAGAGGACGGTGTCAAAGGGGAGCAAATTGCGTTTAATTATCATTGTGCTCTGCGCATCCTCATGGCGTCATGTCCTTCATGCTCGATCCCTAATCCTGGACTGTATATCATACTCAACCCGAAGCACATCCTATTCCCTTGAACTCTTCACCTGGAACAATAGTATCAGTCAAGCGTAAAATAATTTCTCAGGAAAAGCTGCATCCGTGTAAGAGGATTTGACAAGTATACGTATGGTATTAAAAGAAAAAAGCTATACAAGCAGCGAATCGCGTGTAAGATTATTGAGACTAAAAGAGTTGGATGAGCAAGAGAGAAGATTGACTAGCAGGCAGGCAGACTGGCTGGCTGGCTGGCTGGATGGCTGGCAAGCCACGTCCCCGGCTCGATCTCTCGTCGTAGCTGGCATGAGAGCGGATGTGACGTGGCACGTCTGTCTATAGAGAGCTCCTCGGGGTGTGGGAGGGTAGGGTAAGGATGGCGGTAGGGGTCTAGGGAGAGGGGCAGAAAGAGTGGGACCACCGGAAACGCCGGTTAGGCGAGCGGTCCGCATCCGCCCGAAACGGGAATGGATCTAATGCTCGGAGCTACAGCCTCCCTTTTATAGAACGGAACGAAGCAGCTTGGTAGTGTATATATATATATATATATATATTTGTCTATCTACCTACCTACCTACCTACTCGTTTCTTAGAACGGAACGAAGCAGCTTGGTAGTGTACCGGAAACGCCGGTTAGGCGAGCGGTCCGCATCCGCCCGAAACGGGAATGGATCTAATGCTCGGAGCTACAGCCTCCCTTTTATAGAACGGAACGAAGCAGCTTGGTAGTGTATATATATATATATATATATATTTGTCTATCTACCTACCTACCTACCTACTCGTTTCTTATCCAAGAACTCTTTTACCTTAGATTTACGCTTGATCTGTTCCCCAGGAGTCTTGCTTCTTTTCTGTCGACTTCGTTCAGCGTGCATTCAGAGATACTCGTTCTACGGAAGAGCGAGCACGGTGACGTATTAACTTATCAGCCAATCAAAGTGTTTCCTTAATATTACTAAAGTACAGTACCTGGATATAATAGGAATTGACTGTGGCATTCTGTCCGTCGGCGTCGTGCGACAATGGACACCGTGACTACGAATGCTGCTGACGTGAGGTTGCACAGGACGGCGACTGGTAACAAGGTGAGAGGAGCCAGGGAGCGAGAAAGAGGCTCTGGCAAGGTTCTAAAGGCCAATCGGGGAAAAAGAAAAATAGAAGGAGAGGATCCCCTTCGAGGAAGTCGAGTTCCTCGAAGCTAAGAGACACCGGCCGCTGCGCCATGCTGTTACAGCTACGGGCCCCTGGGACTTGGACTCATAATCAGGCTTCGTGATGCTCACGGTGACAATGCGCCTTGACTCTGCCAGACTCATCTACGAGGAAGGGTCTTGTAATGCGTCGATAAAACTACCTAGGGATAGTATAGGTAGTCCAGGATGACGGGTATCCGTTCTGAGTAACAGTGACAGTCAACGTTAAAGCATAAAGATAACTTCAAAACTATAGTAGACTCAAGGATCATGTCATCGACGTAGAAACCACATAGACGCAAGTCCAGGGTCTGCTGAAGCGATCCAGTGTACCGGTTAGTGCCTTGATGTTTTGGCATGAGAGGAAGTGACGTCAAATAGATTTAGAGCACCGACGAAGGAGGTGGGCTCCGTTCCCACGGCTTCTCCCTTCTATTCCTACTATAAAGTAGACCGGCGGAGGACGTCTCTTCTTCCTCAATCCTCACCTCCAGCACGTCCCGTCCTCAATAGCTTCTCGATAACCGAGGCGTTCTCCTTTATGGCAAGAGCTTCCACCGGAAGTCCTCCTCCTAGACGTGGAATTCGACCTCACGTCGGCGCATCCATCCTCCCTTCGTGCGACGTCCGCTTCCTAACGAGCCTGAGCCGTGCCTCGTGCGTCGTGCCTTGTTTTAATTAAAGACTCGCCAGGCCTCCATTCAAACGCCTCCTCTCCCCCTCGCTCCTCTCCTTATCTTCTTCTATTCCTACACCTTCCTTTACACCTGCGTTTCTTTCATTCGGACACGAGGCGTGTTCATAGTACCCAACCAAGTGCCACAACAAGCTTCTCGACCCACCGCCGTCTTCTTGTTTAATTAACTTCTACAGTCTGTAACTTAATTCTTCCTTACAATTTTATCGATCTGTAACTATTCTTAAGTGATACTCCGAGAGGTGCTCTCTACCTCCTTCTTCCTCGCATCAGCGTATTGCAAAAGCAAGGGAGACGTAATGAGAATAATATTGAAAAAGCCGCGAAACCGTCCGTGCTACGTGGCCGTGGCCCGTGGAACACGGGAGTTATTAAGTAGCGGATGCGACGGGCTAAGAATAAGAAGAAAGAAAAATAACCGGCTGGCCGCTCGTTGTCACGTGACCGGAAGTACCGTTCATCCCCTCGCTTCCCCGTTCCTCATACCCATCCTGAAACCTCCTGCACCACCACCACCATCATCACTCCCTGCTACGGCAAGCCCTATCCCCGCTCTGCTCCTCTTCCACTGGCATCGCTACTTCTCCTTTTCCTCCTCTCCTACTGCTATTGGCTTCTCTCTTTTTCTTTCTACCTCTCTGTCTCTTTTTATGTCTATCTCACTCGCTCTTTCTCTGTCTCTCTCTCAGGCGCATCCGACACGACGGAGATGGCCTTGCCTTACCCACTATCAAAAGGTTCACTGCTGCCAGCACGGTCGCCACTGCCAACACTACCAGCGTCGACGAAACTCTCGCGTCAAAGACAGTCCCGCTTCCTCCTGGTTGGATTTACAGTTTGAATTTACTTGAGTTCACGTATAGTAAAGACAATTCTCGCCATTTTTGCAGGGCATTCGCTGTCCTGTTGGCCATCTTGGATTTTGTGAGTAGCGCGAGAAAAGGGATATTTGAAATTAAAAATGTAGACGTCATGTGAAAAAATACATCGGAGAGGTAGCTGAACGGAGGGGGGACGGGAGTATACCTAGACACGTAAGAGACACAGGATCCCCAGGTCGCGTAGCAGCTTCTTCGAGGGCAGTTCGAGTTCCTGGCCCCGATGTTTTCGCGTCGAGGCATGCGCCCGCTCGCGTATGTTCTATATTAAACCCAGCAAAGAACCAAACAGTCCCCCGATTGCGAAACGACTGCTGATATTTTCGTGGCCGGCAACAAGTAACTGCTTCCGGTCTAAAGCACTCTATCCCCGTAGCTTAACTGATCTCCTCCTACCTCCTCGTCTCTTCCTCGTATCCTCTTACTTCGGTTTCGCCTTCCTAACACCAAAAACACCCACGCTTTCCCTAGAATCACTATAAAGATTATACGTGCAAATGTAAACCGCCACTTCTAACGTTATTTCCACTGCCATCTTTAATTTGACGTTCAAGAAAACTCATCGCTCTCATGGAAACCTCCGTCCTTATTGGCTGCCTGCTGTGTCCGCTAGTACACGATTTATCCCGAGAGATGGGAGTGTGTACATACGCATGGGCTGATAGGTTTAGGTTCGGTTGGTAGGTACAGTCGGGGACACTCCTGTCACGACTATTACTACTCTTTTTCACTCTCCTTACTCTTTCTCTCTCTCTCTCTCTCTCTCGAATTCTTTCCAATGTCGAGGGAGGACGCGACCTCGGCATGGGAGGTGCGTACGAGTGCGTGAGGCCACGGCACCCTCACATCGTAGCCAATACTCGTCTTCGCAGTGGCTTCACGGTGGCTCCAGGTCGGACAGCAATAGATGATTTATTCATACTCGTTCCTGGAGAGTGGTATACGGTATTCCGATATATAGAAGCTACCAGCAGTGTCTATCAGGTAGTAATAATCTTATATGAATTGTATATTACAGAATGGAAGACTTTATTCTCAGTGACTTCCTCGAAGACTCATAAATACCAGGAACGATGCATTATGTGCGCGTGGCTAAATGGATTGATCGATTGCCCGTAGGACTAGACGCAACAAATCGGTAAGAAGGCTTTACAATGGCAATTCTGGGAAAGTCAAGGCATCGCTTACTGCATGGACACCGGGTATGTTTGCTCGGTGGACTAAGGAAGGGCGAGAAGGAATAGAGGGAAAGTAAGAAAGCAGTCTCCAAGGGAGGGAGAGAGGGAAAGAGAGGAGGAATGGCTCCTCAGGATATTACGAATTCAGAGAGCGAGGCTCCTACGCTCCTCCGGGGTTCTCCGGGTGTTTCTTTATTTTCCAGAGGCCCAAGCTAGCATGCCCAGATGCGAGGAGTGCGAGAACGAGAGAGAGGTAAAGAGTATGTGTCTGAGAGGGAGAGAAAGGGACCCCTGTGAGCCTTTCGCCTCCGCTGAACTCAACCCTCTCTCTATCAAGTATTCCTTAGCACCTTGAGTAGGGGGTATTTTTCTTGTTGCATTTTTTTTGGTCGCATTAAACTGGCCAGGTGTGCACGTAGGGAGAACCATGCGCCCACGCCTCTCTTAGGATCCTCTCCTCTCTCTGTCTCTCCCGTCCACAACCCACGGATCCCTGACACGACCCACACTCCTTTTCTTCCTTCACATTCGGAATCCATCCTACGCTCGGTTACAAGTTCCGTTCCCGACATCATCCTCCTGATCGTCACCATGGTACGTTCACGCGAAACATCAATTCTCTCTCTCTCTCTCTCTCTCTCTCTCTCTCTCTCTCTCTCTCTCTCTCTCTCTCGCTCATATTCATCTTATATCTCCTTGTTCAAGAAGGAGGACCGGAGAGTGTCGCGAGGAATTCCCGGTCCCACGTATCGACTCTCCCAACAGTCTCAACATTGTCAAGCAAGAAAGGACCAAGTCCACCAGAAGAGACACACAGTCGACTCCTAGGTACAGTCCTCAGTGTCTCTCTCATTCTTTCCATCTTCTTGTACAGACCTATTACTTCTTTTTTTTTGTCTAGACACACACTACTTTCATCTCACTTCAATACTTGCTTCTCTCAACAGCCCCATCCTCGTCACTCGTGCTCCTCATCATCATCATCCTCGTCCAAGAAGGTACCGACTTCCAGCAGCGCCAGAGTCGACTCGACTTCACGATGCATGCGTGAGTCGACTTCGTTCTGCAGAAACGACAGACGAATCGTCGATACGCGAGCACTCTCTCATTCTCTCTCTTTATCTTTCTCTATATATGTACGCACCTCACACACCACACGCATCTCACGTACTTCAAACCCACCACTCATTGGATTCATGTGCAGCTCGCTCGAGTCACTCGTACTCAACGCGCTACCAGGCTACCTGCCAAGGCTGCTACTGCACCGGAGAGCGAGCGAGTGAGGTAGCTGCACAGGAAAAGGCAGAAGGCGTATAGACCAAGACGTACATCCGAGCGAGATGGAGAGGAGAGGGCGTGCGTGTAACGTGCGTGACCTTGCCAAGGTCACGGGGCTCAGAGAACAATGCCCAGGTGCAACAAACTCCACAAGCGGGTCCTCAACGTCAACCTGGGTATATCGGCGCCAGTGGTTGCTCAAGTCTGATCCTAGCTAATTTTCTTTTAAAATTCTTTTACTTCTAGGATTTTGTATTTTTCAGACTACTCGTGTGGACTATCTACTCGTGTGAGTGACGTCACACCGCGGGTCTGACTATGGAGCGTCGAGTACCGATAGCACCTACGGAATTATTGCCAATGGCTTCCTTCGTCTTGGTTCTAAACTTGAGGAAGAGATAGAGAGGGAGGGAGGGAGGAAGAGAAAGAGAGAGAGAGAGGGAGAGAGAGAGAGAGAGAGGGAGAGGGAGAGAGACTGGTAAGATAGTGCTGTAAGCCATTACGAAATCTTTTCGGGAGTGACTACTGTACATACATATTGCTGCTGGATATATATATATATATATATATGTGTGTGTACTTATTTATTTACTTATAGTTTGAGCGGACAGGAGAAGCCAGTATGGTGCACTCAGCGTCCCGACGCCAAGTTTAAAGTTTCTCGTGCCGATTAATTGTCCCGTTAATGTGTTGCGGCTCGCGTGTACTTCTCCGTATATATCTCTGTGTATATATAGCATGTGAGATATATAGCTATAAATATAGTGCATGTACAGGGTGTACCAAATCACTGGGACACTCCTGTATACATCGAATCCATAATGAAAGATAAATTGTGCACAATTGTTTCTGACTTTTATTTTTTTAGGTTATGGTGTCGAAAAATTCTGCATCTTTTGATATACAGAATTATTATCAAAATCGCTTTTGGATAAATCAAGGAAAACTTATTGCTCGTTCATTTTCGAATCTAATTGTTGTCTCCTGGAAATTACGCCCTATGCTACTCTACGAAAAGAACTTTTAATATTACCTGCAACGAGGGTTCGTGTCTTAAGCGAATAACAACTCTTGATGCGATTGGACGTCGAGCTATTTGTATTTGGTTCTTTTTTTGTTTTTCTAACAAAATTAAATTCCATGAAAATTACGCGATAACAGGTAGGACATAGGGGATTGACGTTTTACATAATTTTAAAAATAATTTCTAATTCCTCTTTTTCGTTTACTTCACAGAATGACAACCTCCCAGTTTCTACACCCTGTATGCACAGCAAGAGAAAATTGTCGGACATCTTCGTCGAGGCTCGCTTAATTATCACCAATCTCTTTCACTCCATGAAGTTCCACTTTAACTCGAGGAACTTTACTCTCCTTTACTCCTTCTTGTTCCTCGCTTTACCGCCGTCCTCCCCCTCGCTATTGCTCTTGGTCCTCTTCTTGTTAAGCTTGAGTACTGGTTAACCCATTCAGTTCACCAAGCGTGGAAGGTCTCATTCTGTGCACCAAAGAAGAATAAGAAGAAGAATATACATCATAGTAACTGCATATCATACATCCTGAATATATGTATATATCCATCTTATACTCCAAGGAATAGGCATTCGTACAAAGAGGGTATAAAAAAAATTAATTACCATAAGTATCAAGGACAGTGAGTAGTCGCGTATCTATAATAGTGCCGTTCCCATTCGCGGGGATCCCGAATGAATGAGCGCGTCCTCGTAGTCTTAATGAATGAACGAGCGAAGAGAACAGAACGGAACACAGAACGTGTCGGTATAGGTAGAAAGGCAAAGCCAAGGCGAGTCGATACTCTGTGCTGGCATACAAGGAGCTAGACAGTCTAATAACTATGGGTAGTATGCTTAGTATGCCTAGTATTCCTATCTCTCTATTACCTACTCGAGACTATTTACGAGCTATATGTAGCTTAAGCTGAAGTAGAGATACTCGAAAAGGTATACCAGATTAGATGATAGCCATGCAAGCCTATATTCTCAGTACAGGTAGAGAGAGGTATATATATATATATACGCATGTCTAGGGGATTGAATACAATTTTTCATAGCGGCTGGGTGTGTAAGTAGTGTCTCGCGTGGGCGTGTACTTTGTGGGTAGATATCGCGAGTAGTCGTGCCAAGATGTTAGAGAGGTTGGAAGAGAGAGAGAGAGAGAGAGAGAGAGAGAGAGAAGAGAGACTGCAGTTGGGTCATGGCAGGTCCTTGAACGAAACGGAGCGCAAGTAGCGGCTTTATAAAAAAATAGCTCTTATTCTCGCCTGAATGTCTCTTGAGAAAGATAGCTGTTATGCAATAAGAGAGAAAGAGATTATTGGGTAGCCAATCATAGACGATCAGAATGATGTAGCTAATTTTCCGTTTACGGAAACGCAAGCAGAACAGTCACGACCGCGGTTCTTGTTCTCGTTATCGCTCATTGAATTATCTGTTTCTCATGATATTCTCATTAATTCGAAAAGACCTTAAACTTCGTATACAGGGTCTTTTAAGAGCGTCGACGCAGACCGTAGAAGGGTGTCATAGTGGCGAGCGTATTTCCGCTTGCGGTTACTCTAATTTTATCGCTCGCTGGCATATTCGCGCGAAATGAGCGGTCGCGCTGCTGCTTGAGCGATTGTGTCGCAGGAAAGAAGCTGTATTGGATGGAAAGAGGAAATTGGATGTATCGTATGAGAATAACGCGAGAGTAACCACGTGTGATTTTATTAATGAAAAAAGTTATAAAAACACTGTATATGTATGGGTATGAATTTTTATTGTTTTTAATCGGAATAACATTTATTCTCATCCACACGGAAAAAGGAGCATTAGTGGTGATTTGTATATTCGCGTATGTATATACACATAATGTATAATGTACACTAACGTTACGTATACTACTACGTATGTTACATAACGTATTTTGACGACCCTAGCGCGATAGCCCGCACCGGAAGTTCGCCCCACTTCTCTCCCCACGCGGACCTCATCTCTGTAACTCTTTTATACGCGGCCATAGCCTCTTCCCTCCGTACTTCCCTTACTCTCATCGTTCTCTCTCTCTTTCTCTCTCCTCTCCTATCCACAGTAGGTTCCCTTCTCTTCCCTAGCCTCTGCATCCACCCTGGCAGCATTGCTGTCCCCAGAGCAGAGCCAGCCATTGGGGCCACTGTGCAATCTGCCTAAAGGCACGTTCACACCGTCGAATTCAGCATAAACATTGCCAATATCTAGACACTTCAAAATAGAGCAACGGTATGTATCCTAGAGGAATTAAATTCTTCGCGACTTTACGTTATTTCATTGGCATACGGATGTGTTTCTCAAATGGTCATTCACATCGTCCGATGTACTGCAAATGTACTCTGATTGATGCTAGGGCATTTTACATGGGATCGGATTGCACCTTTAGACTGTCGTTTCCCAGCCACGTTACTCTTCGCCATCCTGGCCACTCTGCGTGGCATAACATTACACAAAGCAAGTCATTCATGCGCTCACGCGGAGCTTGCTGCTACCAATATAGCGATTATGCACTCCCTCGTACATGGTGTGCGAGTACGTTGTTGCTGATTGTGAGAACGGCTGAGTCTGTGCCAGGACCTGTAGATACGTCAAAGAGTACGAGTGTCAGAAACATGTGAGATTGTATGTATTGGTCGACGGGGAGGCGTGGGGCGAGGGGGAAAATAGTCTCGAAATAATGACGGTATTACGCGGGAGTCCAGAGCGCCGAGACACGTTCCAGGACGGCAAACTTCCCGGGAGCATTCCCCCACCTCCCTGGAAAACAGCATCGGGAGCTCGCTACTTACACCGGAAGTCGTTTTAGTAGGCCGGATGTCACCCCGAAATGGTAACATCCGCTCTACTCAACTTGCTGCTTAGAGCAATGCCCGTCTTGGCTTCTGCTTGTTCGCCTGCTGTTCCTGCTGCTGCTTCAAAGAGGAGCCCAGCATTTTTACCGGAAGGAATTCTATTTTCGTGTTCCTGGAGTCTGGAGGTGAAACGAAGGCCAATTACGGGTTTCTTGGACTTTCAATTGATTCGAGCTAATTGATATAGCGGTAATTAAGTAAAATTGTTATGGTACTAACAGTTCTGGATATATGAACATAAAGTAACATATTTTGAACTACATACTGTATCAGCCATAGAAATGCGGCACATGTAAAATTTAAAGTTGCGCCTGTCGATATGCAACCGTTCGTGCTGGTCTGTTTACATTAAAAACATGGTGCAGGTTTTGTTAGCATGGCGGGTTGCGTGTTTTTAGGCGCTGATCAACGATATTATTTTCCAATCGTCAATCATTATTTAAATGACCAACGATATTTTGATAAGAGAATTAAATGAAGCAATTTTTAAACTACGTAAATGATATTTACTTTTTTATTGTAGTGTACTATTTGGGAAGTTTTATTGGCCCAGACTGTTTTCCATATTTACCATAGGTCACTGCTTGAAAATGTCTAAGTTGGGGGTTAGTGGGAAAAATAGACATGATGGGGAAAGCAGGCTTATCAGTGAAGTCAGTGGTTAGTTGAGACTGTGTTTGGAAACGTGAGGGTTGTGTGTTAACGGTTATTGCTTGCAGGGATTGTAGTACTTGGATTTCAACAGGCGGTATTATACGAAAGTTTCTACATTATTGGCTTGTGTTAAACCCGTATAAGAAAATATATTATCATTGACTGAAGAAAAATAGGTCAGGCATGCCCCTATATTCTGTGACGCGTTTCTGATATGTATAATATGTCTCCTATGACATTTAAATTTGTAAAGTCGATTTGTAGACGTCAACTGGGCCCTGACTCGTGTGATACCATATCGCATAAGATGTCCGATCTACTTTACCTCTTCAGTCAACGGTATTATCGAGCTGGTTTCTAAAAGTGGTTGATTGAGTGAACCACCAGAGGAACATCCGGTTTCCGTGAGACACCGCGCTTGCGTAGCAATTTTCAGTTCTTCACGCTACAACCAAGATGGTGAGTACTTCGTGAGAGTTACTTGGTCGTGCTAATCTGTAAATTTAGAAGCCATCCATGGTTTTACGAGATTAAAATTGTCACTAGAAATACTTGAGAACGTTCTGAAGAACGTTGAGATCTTTCATTCTTTTATTTTTTGCTTTATTATTTATATTATTTAATTCCGTGTCAGAACAGTGGGAAACCTGAATATCCAGAAGTGTAAACATATTCTTTGACTTGGCTTTACCACGTTACTTGAAATATTAAAAATTTATTTAGGTTGCCATATTAGATATATTATTAATTAAGATCATTTCATTTTTATTGTTTCAGTCCACACACAAGAAGAAGACTAGGAAGCTTCGTGGACACGTTAGCCACGGTCATGGCCGTATCGGTAAGCATGAAGTTTGTCATTTCGTGATCAGAAAGTGTAGTATCGTTAGTGTTATTTTGAAATGTTTAAATTTCATGTACTCTTAAACGTTTGAGTTTTGTAATTTTATTTATTAAACTTTGGAAAATTAAATTGTAGCTTTAAGGTTATCTGTGTATTACGTTTTAGGCAAACACAGGAAACATCCTGGTGGTCGTGGTAATGCTGGTGGTATGCACCATCACCGTATCAACTTTGACAAATATCACCCTGGCTACTTTGGAAAGGTGTGTTTGTATTTTATTTAATTTATTTTACAGTTTATTATGGGACTTATACTGTTAAAATTAGATGATGATTTGCACGCTTTCACCGGCGATATGAATTTACATTGATTATATTGCACTTACTGATTACAAAGCATAATTTCCTTTAATTTTGTGACAAATGAATTTAATTAATTTAGTTAATTAATTAGAGTATATGGTTGTAGCTTGGTATGAGGAATTACCACTTGCGCCGTAACACTAAGTGGTGCCCATCCCTCAATCTGGACAAACTGTGGACACTCGTGACTGAACAGACCAGGTTGAAGTACAAAAATTCCACTAACGGCAAGGCTCCTGTTATCGACCTTGTCAAAGCTGTAAGTTCTTGGAGCATTATGTTATTTTATGAAAAAATATGATTCTTGTTCTTCTTTATAATTTCTTTATACTTTATACTTCCAGGGTTACTATAAACTTTTGGGTAAAGGCCGTCTGCCCAAGCAGCCTGTTATCGTGAAAGCAAAATTCTTTAGCAAACAGGCTGAAGACAAGATAAAAGCTGTTGGTGGAGCTTGTGTTCTATCTGCGTAACTGACAGTGAGTTTTTGTAGAGTTTATTAAAATTGATGTTCATAATATTTACAAATTCAAATGATGACATGTGAACGGGCGGACTTAATAGTGCGTACAACACTTTTCACCATGTAGAGTGTTCACTTCTGACTTCTGTTAGAACAAATCATTTGAATAAATAAATGGCTGCATTTACTATGAATAACATTTTTTTTTCTTATTTTCAGGTTGTGAGACTTACCAACGGTAACGTACACTTAACATCTTTGTACTATTATTAATAAAAAAAAAGATTGAAAATATAAAAACATTTTATATGAGGGGTTTTATTTTGTGTATACCCTAGGTGTGCAGGGTATTCACAGTTTCCTTTCCCATATACAAATATTGTCATTAAGTTAATAATTTTTTTCTTAAAAATAGAACAGATCTTTTCCAAGTATAGAGATTAGTTTAAAATAATTTAGTTTGCCATTTGTAACTGCATTAACTTGTTTATGTTATCCATCAAAATTCTTCATTTTTTAAACAATTTTAAAGAAAATATAATTCATTCAATTTGTATAAGAGTACTTTATTTGCTTATAGACAAAGTTTCAGATAGAATATAAATGAAGTTTTATATTTTAAGAGATGTATCAATTAAGCTAAGTGTGGTGGAGGAGGAGGTATTTGCATTCCATTAGCTAAAAGTGCTGGTGGAGGAGGTACAGGATTAAACATGGGTGGTCGAGGTGGTGGAGGAACTGGCATCATTGGTGGTGCAAGTCCTGGTCTAATCAGAGGAACAGGAGGTGGAGGAACCTTTCCAATAGATGGTTTTTCATTTTTAAATGCAAATTGTAAAAAGAACTGTTTAGTATCTTTGTTCCAATGTGTCCAGAATTTACCCTCCGCCTTTTCTACTTCTCTACTAGGTACCTAAAACACAAAAATTGAAATGATTGAAAATATTATTAATTAAGCTTATGTGGATTATTGTTGTATAATATTCAAATTTACCTTGAAAGCAATAGTTTCATATGGTTCAGCAGCAAACAATAAGTATTGCCATTTACGATCTGGAGGCTCAACACGTTGTTCGTAGGCAGACATAAATCTATGCCTTGGAATTACACTATCTGCAACTTCCGGATAGTCTACTTGAAACAATAAACTCTGCTGTCCAGACTCAGGGTCTCTCTGTTTTGTTACACGATATCCTGGTCTTCCAATTTTAACAAACTTCTTAGGCTCTACTCTGGGTTTTTCAGGAGCAAGTGTTTGCGGAGCTTCCTTAGCTTCCTTCGCAGCTCTCCTCGCTAAATTGGCTTGATGTTTTTTACCTTGAGTGTGAGCAAGGTAACTGCCTTCATTGTTGTGTAGGGTTAAACATAATTTACACTCATAAGATCCTAAATGATTTTTCATAAAGTAGGGATCCTTATTCAAATCAATAGTTTCCAGAGCAAGTTGTCGCAAGCGTTCTCGACGATCACGGTTATTCTCCGACCAGGATGCGACGCCGCCGCCTCCTGTCTTTCCTCCAGGTCGATTTTGAAAATCCATCTTCAGTAAGCGACAAAGTTAAATACCACTTTACAATCTGATACAGATTTTTAATTAGAAATTTCCTCAATAGTAATAATGTATACAACTTATGACATGAACACGACCAGAGATGAGTGGGGAGATGCACAACGCTCCGGTTTTAGGCGATACCAAAAGCATGGCGCTACATTGTAGCGGCGAGTCTGGGAGTAGGATTTTATGATCATCGCCTCCGTCGATAATGCATATCCTGCAGTAGCTGAGCTGAACGATGATCATGAACGTGTAACTTGGCGGGTACAGGTTCTCCGCAACTTACTGCTAGTTCCCAAAGCAACCCTTACAATAAGACCGCGAAATATAGAACTTCTCAAAAACTATTGAAAAAGTTGATCGTTGAAACAGTTTTAAGACATGTTTAAGAAAGTGCAGTGTCACCTTTACACCCGTGTAGCACCTCAATTTTTACTAAATATCACTGGATCTTGATTTACTTTCAAAATTTATTCAAGATATAAAATTGAGGCTGAATCAAAATCTTGCAGAATATACGGAGTAGATAAAAATTGAAATGAAAATGTAGAATATCGAAAATAAATTACATTCGAATTGAAATATTAATAAATTAGGTGTTTGGAACATTAAAATAATTAATGAAATAAATAAAGTAAGTTAATCAGTATTAACTTTTCGAAATCGGAAATTTTGGCCAAGCATATTTAGAAATACTAGAAATTGCCCAAAAGTGTGTG